GCCTGTTCTTGGCATTTTTTGACTATTTAGAAAAAATTCCAAGTGGTCAAGAAACGCTTATGAGAAACGCCCATGTCTGTATTGTTATATATACTGTTACATAGTGATAAGAAAGTCATCTTGATAATTTTTTTACGATTCGATTAGACTGAACTTCGAACTCAAATGTTTAACTAGGCAATTTATTTGACTTTATATAAGCCTTGTTTATTAATTATTTAGTATAGGGGACTACCACCTAAATAACCTTAATCTTGACATGTTTTCAAGATCATGACTCGGAATGACCTTAGATAAATTTTTATCATTGCTTGTTGTTCTTAAAAAAGTTACTAACAAAGAAAGTTTATCAATAAAACCTAACTTTTAGATACGACTGCGCTCCGACACAAATTCCCTACTTTAACAGTGTAATATATTTTCTTATATAATTTCTCATATAATTTTTCTTATATGATCTTGCCTCATCGATTTCGACAATAATTCCTTTTCTGCCAATTTAATTTTGATTGTTTGTTAACCATTGATTCATGAGCTGAAAAGCCAGATTATTGTAATTAATATTTATTAAAATAAAGAATTTTTAAATAAGTATATAAGTTTTTTTTGTTTCAAAGATACAAATATTTCATTTCAAAAACACAAATTTCCTGCTTTACAAACAATTGACATTGTTCTCCATTTATATAATTTTACCAAGCTATTAAATTACATGAATTACCTCTCTGCAAAAGTTAGTCCAGTCAATTGTGATGATATATTTGATTATTTTTCTAGGAATATAGGTCTATTTTACAAACAAATTCTTTGCGTTAAAACCACATTTTTTTTAATAAACTTTTTTTGTTGACGACTTGTTAATGAACAATGGGCGACGACTAAAATTTGTTCAAGATCACTAACCTTGACAACATATGTCATTAGGAGTCAGAGAGTAGTCCCTTATACTAAATAATTACTCCTTGCTTTTGTCCATAAAAATAAATTTTTTTATAGAAAGTCAATTAGAAATATAATTAAAAAATTTTAGTTTTTCTTGTTTTTACTTTTAGGGATCTGTAGGTAAGCTTTGTGTGCCTTCATTAAATTTAAAAAAAGATCATCCTGTGCCGTTAACAAAACTAAATGAATTATTTCTGCTGTCATTGTGGAAGTAATCGAGCTTCATGATAGATTAATTTATGAAATTAAGTATAAACGTTTTCATATAAATTGTTTCCGTAGAAAATATTAACAAATTAATAAAAGAATAAGTCTTTGGTGTGTATTCCCATGTATCAACCTGGCTATAAGACTAGAAAATATGTGCTTAACTCACGCAATACTGGAAAATACACACAAATATCGGTGATTTACGATTTTCCAGTAAACAGTGCGATAGATAATTATCTTCGAAAACAGACGCATTCACCTGATACGACAATAGACCTCTTTGAAAATTAATACTACATCCGAAAAATTGGATTGCAAGTGAATACTCTCAAGCGTCTATGATGTATCTTGAGTACAAATATGACTAATCTTAATTCAATCAATTTCACACTCATTCATTCTTATTTTCAAATATAACCGCTGTTCAATGACGCAATCAGCAAGATACGTTACACAGAACAGTGACTCAAAGAGAAAAAAAAAACACAACACCAATCGTTACTAATTCTTTCGTACATTTATCCTTTCCGTATATCACCATGATACACTGATAGCATGTACAGGTAGTACGGAGTGATTCTTTTAGATTAACTAGATTACACTTAACGTGTTTATTCTGGACTAGACACAGTTTGTTGTTGTTGACTGTCCTCATCCTTAACCTCGGCCTGCATGGTTTTTGTCAGAACGTTGGCATCCTTTAACGATATTACTTGAAGAACCTGATGTTCTCCGGCGGCATTTATCATCGTCATGGGATGACCTTGTATAGTAACAGCCTCGATGGTGGTATCTCCATTTCCTGATTCGACTTTGGGTACTTGAACCATTGGCGTTACCACCTGCATCGTACCATCGCTCTGTATATTGGCCACCATAGTTTGATACATACTGGCAGACACTGGCACTGTGATCACTCCTGAGACTGATACAGGATATCCTGAAACAAACGTATAATAAGCATCCCACGATCGATTCATAACGAGCCAATTGCATCTGTATTGCAAACTAGAAGATGATAAAAGAAAATGGTAAACAAATATCTCAGATAAATTATACTCACAATGCGACAACGTCAAGAAGCTGTTTGCAAAGCGCTAAAACCGAACCAATACGGTCTGTGCACGATAAAAAGTGGTGTTGTTCTCACTACGCATTCTTCATTCGACAATTTTAATTTCTATCATAACAATCAATAACTACTAGTTTATGATACAAAAGAATATCCATTGGATTACTAATCCTTAATTTAACGCGTCTTTTATTTTTTCATAACTGGCATAACACGGTCTGTCAAATCACTGTAATTATTCACAAACGAAAAAAACATCAAAACAAAATTACTCATATGTTACAGAGTGCAAGGTAAGTAGAGGATATCGGTTTCTGAAGGATAAAGGAAAACAAAAGGAATGAAACAGAGATCTGCGAGACCGCTGTGTGCCAGTTGAAATCTGATAAAAGCAAAATCGCATAAATATCGAACAATTTAAAGACGCAGAAATAGTACCATTTAATTAATTAAAGGATGCACTCAGAAAGAACAAATATACTTGTTATGACCCAATAATTCTTTGGTACGCCTCTTTAACTTAACGTAAAATCGATATACAATATCTATCTAAGAAAATTAAGGCGTTTATGAGGGATAGCGAGTGTTTAAGCCGTTTGCAGAAATAAAAATTTTATATCACACAATTCACATGACACTTTCAAAAAACATATAATAAATGTTAGCACTAATATGTTACTTATTTCAAGCAGCTTAAACACAGGCTGCTAACACATAATGTATAAAAAATAATGGTACGTCAACAAAAAATACTCTATGTACAGCAAGTTTATTTCTCTTCGTTTAATTAAAGTCAGTAAACCAATCTTCAATAAAGTAAATATAATCGTTACAACAGTTTCTTCCGTCATCGTAATTGCGATAGCGGATTGCTTTAGCAATTGAGTTAAAAATTTTAAGAATCCAATGGTGATATATTCCCTTTGCAGTCATTTGTACGTACATTTTTCATTTGTTGTAAAAGTTTCTAGACTGCAATAAACCTTACATATAGATATAATAGAATACATAATAATATTTTATACACAAATATGTGTCACGTCCATGTAATCGCTGAAGTAGTATCTACATGCATATTATATTATAAATAAATGCTGTTCTCTTACTTAAAATTTTTCAAAAGTAAAATAACAAATAGTAATGTATGAACATGTATAAATATGTACTTTATACAATTTATACACATTTCGTGCAAATATTTGCAATTAATACTTTTACACGATTCTCCGTGTTATACATTACATGTAAGCGCACCATGGATTCTCAAAGAACAAAGTTTCAAATTAAGCTGTGCATAGCTCCATTTATATAAAATTACTCTAGATCTCTCTATATATATACAATACGAGGCAAATACATTAACTAATCCAGATCCTACTTCGTAATACAAAGTAGTATAAACACATAGAGATATGATTCTTGATTGGAGCATAGCAGACAGCATGCAAAAAAAGATCCGGGACCAATAAAAAACGAGTCACTGTTCAAGTAGTTCCTGGCCGGCGACAGTGCAGAGCCTATAAAAAACTGTTTTACCGTGTCCGTCTTCCCCAGTAAGGATGATCTGGCCATCTTGACCTAACGTCGCTTCTGTGACAGTATTCAAATCGACGGCCACACTAGCACCTTCTGTGCTACCGGCTACTTCCGCTAGTGCCTGAACATCTCCTTGACTCGTATGGATCTAAATGCAATCGAAAATGATGTTATTGTACATGACTTGTATTATACAATATAATATTGGATACATTTAACAATTTTCCTTTTCTATTTTTTTTTCAAAAATATTAAGACTTATCACGTCTAGTATTATCTGTAGTATAGGTTCGACAATTTATTATTATTATAATCTGATATTTTGTTAATATCTATTGCGTTAATTTCTATTTTATTATATATTCTTTAAAATTCTAAAAATGATCTAAAAGTATAAAAAACGTAACATTTCTATTATAAATATTAATCTTTATATGATATTTATAACTCTTTGTTTATACATATACTTCTGTCTTGTATTGATTTTACATCTACATATGTATTGACCTTTAATATTTCTGTATATATTTTTTTTGTATGCGTATGCATAGAATGATCGAATTCATGTGTCACTGTACATCGATTTAATTGTATTAATACACAGTATATTTAATATATATTTTATACGTGTATGTATATTGTAAAATAAATATTGTATTATATCGGATATCATATCGATTTCATTACGTGCCATTTTATAAAAAACGTTTATATTTTCTAAAAGTTTTTAAAAAAAGATCTGCAAAGATTTTTTATTTTATTAAATATTTGTATTAAAAAAAAAAAACTTACAGTAGCAACTCCTTGAACTTGAGCTGTTGTACCATCCGGTAATGTAATAATCGGTGTGCTAGGATCCACCTGTATGATAGAAACTGTTCCATCTGGATTGGTTATTGTCTGCAATACAGTTGTTGGATATTGGGCTGTCATCTGTTAAACAATTATAAGTCAGAGATAAGTAAGCTGTGTACACCTCATATCATGGCTGCATCTCAAAACTCCATGGACTGTCATTTTATGAAAATCTTAGGAAAACTAAAACAATAAAAAAAAAATAAATACCAAAAGAAAAGATAATCATAAAAAAAATAATTACGATTTTTTAATTCCAAATTTTCAAATATTGTCTCAAATTCTTGATAAAGTATTTTTGTTATGACTGTATAGTATGTTACTTTGTGCTTAAAAATGACAGTGAATAATGCTCTTAAATGCAGCTTTGAATCGAGGAACATTATTATAATATGAGTTCTCTAACTAGAATTTTAATTTTTAAATGTAAATGACTTTAATTTTTTTATAAATGTTCCATTACTAAATACAAATTATACAAATTAATATATTTTGATATATTTTAATATATATTCAATTCTAAAATCTAATATATGGTATAATAAAAAAAAAATTTAACTCAAATAAGGGAAACCAAACACATCAGTAGAAATACGATTTTGTAAAGAATATTTCAGATTATAATTTTAGATTCTTTTTTTTCTATATGATGCGGACTGTAAAAATAAATGAAAATCGGGCTTCTAAATATTGGAAAGTTTGAAAGAGAAAGGAAAATTGTTAATATTTTTCTAAGTATCAAAATAAAAAAAATTGTTTAGTAAATAGGGATCTAAAATTCATATTGTTTCATGTCATCCTGGATCTGTTTAAAAAATTCTATTTTTTTTTTATAAACTCCATCCACTCCCACCTGAGTGGCAGTGGCAAGAGCTGTGGGAGACGCGGCAATGATTTGTGCTGGCGAAGAGTTTCCCTTAGATGAATCCGCGCTGTTGAGACGAACAACTCCCACCGTCTGTTGCTGTTGCGACTGTCCTCCTCCATTTTGTGTCTGGCTCGATGATGGATGCGACGAAGAATGGGGCGTCGCTTGTTGTATTAAAGTATTAGACTTTTCGTCATCTTCGCTAAACGCCGGTAGAAGATCTTCTCTTCCGTGATATTTGTAACAATTTATTACGATTTGCCGTAACGCATGAGTCCAGGAGATCTGTAATGGATTGCACTGTCCCAATTCATACGTTTAACATCTAATTAATAAATTCTTGGAATAGATTATTCGATCAAGTATTTCGATTAAGTATTCATTATATCTTTTATCAAATACACAGAATAGTAAAAGATAATTTATTTCTTGTACATATATATATATTTCCAAAAATTTAATTTTTTTTCTCTGTATTTTATATTTTTAATATTTTAAAATAATAATGTTGTATAATAATGAAATAAATGTATGATTATTTAAAGATATTTTGGTATTGGAACAGAATAAAACAATAAAGAAAAAATTAAAAATTAAAAATTAAAAATATTCTTATCGAATTTACGTACTTTTTGTTTTTCGTCTTCCGTTCGCGCATCCATTCGGACATTAGCCCAAGGTAATTCCTTGGGCCACCAAGGAGGTCGCGTACTATCTCTTCCCCAGCCAGGTTTACCTCTGCCTGTAGAATACTTTAACATCAATGGGATGAACGCTCTAAGTTGCGCTTGTGTCATCTTCTCGACCGGAGTTGGTATACCGTCGATTATAAGCGGTGGTAATTCGAATAATGACGGATCATCCTGCACGGGCGGCGGCGCTTGTTGTGCAAGTGCGTTCTCCAGCTCCTCCATGATAACGGTCCTTAGATTTTTAACTACGTCCTCTAAGGGTTTTGCCCCAAAGACTTTGTAACTACTATTTGGTTTGCCTGGCGTAGCCACTAATACTACCGCTTGTTGTCCAACTCGGGTAGCAAATTCGTCAATAGTTTGCTGTAAACAGTTCGATAATGATATTGTAAAATTCTAAAATATGCCACTGTGCTAGAATAAATATATACGTAGAAATACAAGAATGCAAGTAATAATGAAAATATGATATTAATAAATTATAAGAGAATTTAAATCAAAAGAATATAAAAAATACTTGTAGGAACCAATACTATAATACCATGGATATACACATGTCAATCACATATATCAGTATGTGTATATCATGTCTATATACATGTATATTTACATTACAGTCAAAGTGTTAACTTGGTAAATATGTACACTTACTGTAATCTGTTGTAGTCAATGTATACATTTACTAAAGTTAGCACTCTGACTGTGACATATACATAAATTTATTCTCATATGACAATGTAAATATGTTTTGATCTTCCATTTGACTTATTCTTATAATATAATACTAAAAATTGTATAAAATATGAAGCATAATAATCAAATTTGATAAGAACTGTCATACAGAATTGAGTACTAAAAATAAACATAAGACACAGATAGTTTGCACGGTTCTTACTAAATTTGATTACTGCACTTCCTTCATATTTTATGTGACTTTTACTGTATTGTTTATATTTTTATTATATTTGAATTTTAAATATACTGAGGAACCAAATTGTGGATCGAAATGTTTCTGTAATTGTAATACGAGAATAACTTTATATATACACATGCATGCCCTTCCAGTGTTGGCTTTATAGATATTTTAAATATTCTTTTGATTTATATTCTTCAAAGCCTAAATTATTCACGTAGGAGTTTCACTTACTCTAAGCTTTCTTAAAAGCCTGTTTTGTTGTCTCTTTCTGATACTGGGATTAGTTTCAAAACTGTGAGGTCGTTTTCGCTTCTTGGCTGACACAATGGCAGCTGCAGCAGCGACGCCTACAGGTCCTAAAGATTTTTTAATGCAAAAGAAATATTTCAATTGTTTCATTATATTTCTTGATATGCCAATATAAAGAATCAAAATAAACAAAATTTTATAAATATTTTCAAATTCTCATTAATATAAATATTTATTCAAAATTTACAAAAAAAAAGAAAAAAGTGAAAAAACTCTCGATACTGAAATAAAAATTAAAAACAAAATAAGCTGATGAGAGTGCAGCGCAATATTTAATGCGCTAATTAATAGTATAACGCGTCCTATATTTATTGTTATTTTTGTATGTATTTTGTTTATTTATTATTATTTTCACGTTTTTTTACATTGCTGTGTGAATAACTTTTATACAAGTTAAACAAATTTCGAGCTTATAATTAGACTTACTTTAAATTAATACAATTAACATAAGAATGTAAATACTATATAATAATCTAAATACAATTAATAAAATAATATAAAATTACAAACGTTTCGGGCTTACAAAGCCTTCAGTGTATAAAGCAAAAATAGATTATTAAATTAATGAATCAATTAGAATATCACATATAATGAAATATATAAAAAAACCTATCAGTGGTAATGTATCAATTGATATAAAATTCAAATGTCAAAATGTGTTAAGACAGTTACATAAAATAAGAAGAATGAAATACTTCGATCAAAAGTAGACATGATGTCCAATAAAAATAATTTTGTCCAAATTCCTCGGTTGAAAACGGGGGTTATTAGTTAGCATTTTATCTTTGATATTCGATTAATACCCGTTTCTACCAATGTAGTTAATTTTAATCTCGGTTTAACTTTAAGAATTAGAAAAAGATAAAGAATTGAGCCAAGATTGAAGTTAATCTGCATTGGTAGAAACGGGCATAAGTCAGTTATAATTTTATTATTTGACACTTATTCTCACTATATCACTGTAGACTTTTACATTTATATCAAAGTTTTCTTTGTTCACACATTCTTGAACTTTTCAAATAAATTATGTTTTGGTTATCAAATCAATTCGATTTATAATAAAATCTGTATTGCAAATTTAAATAAATCAGAGGCTATATATTTGCCTCGTCTTTAGTTTTCTTTATATTATTTTCTAACCACAGTGAAGAATTCTATCTTTGAAATTGGTAATTGATTAATGATCTATCTTCTATTCAAAAGTGAAATTATATAGTATTAATTTTTATTTTCGATGAAGATGATTCCAGGCGTAACTGAAACGTCCGATGGATTTAATTATGTTAACTAAAATGTGTTGTGCACATTACCAATTTGCGTACAATAGAAAAAACTAATAATAAGTACCGCGCCGCATTCTCATTATCCTATTTTGCTTTTCATTTTTTTTTATTTATATTTGATTTATTTATATAGCAAAAAATTTTATGATATTGGCATACCAAAAATGTAATTGTACTTCCAATACATACAAAACAAAGATGCGTAGCAATATGAAAGCAATAATGAAAATGAAATGTGATTAAAATCAAAATTTATTCAAGAAG